CTATATCTGCCAGCTTTACTAATTTAACTTGAGTTTAAATGACATTTACACACTTGCCAGTGGTGATACTATATTTTGGTTTTAATGAATATTTTATTTATTTAAATTATACATTTTTTTTTTAATTTTCACAGAATATAAATAAGGTTTTCATTAACAAGATGCTATTCCATTATCACCACATTACTATATTTCAGGGTGCAGGGATATCAGGGATACAATGTTAACAAGAAGCATTAAAAAGAAGACAGAAGACAGAAGATAAAAGCTTTTCTGATTACTACTAAAATTGACAAATAAAAAAATTATTATATAACATATTAATCATAGAAAGTATTTTTTTTCAAGGTTCATTCTTCTCAGAATCTTTCCAATCTAGTGTCAAAGTTTGTGTGTGACAAATTCAAATAAAAGTAAACAAAGAAATGGTTGCATGCATTGGTAAAAAAAATTATTTGCCTCAATTAACAAATTAGACAGCTGGATAATGAAACACAATAAAAGTTGATTTTTATGCCAATTCTGTGGTGGAGAAAAAGGTCAAGAGTAATTTGTGAGATTGGATACATATAATACTGCATAAAATTTACATTATTACATTCCTTGCAGACATGTATAACATATTTTATAACAGTAAAATAGTTAATCTAAACAGTTACACTGTACAACAAAACACGTTAAAAATCTCATGACTGTTGAAAGTTGAAATAAAGCAGGCTAATGCAGCTGTACTGGCAAAATTTCCTACATTATACTCTGGCGTAACCTGCCCTTTTACTTCCAATCAATATAAATTTATCAGTTTGCACTTATATTGTTCTTTAAATATTTGCTCATTAATATAGGTAAAAATAAGATTTCATTTTACAAATTAGCTGTAGATAATTGTTGCCTAGCAACATATAATAAAATTATTGCAGGTTGTCTATGGTTTTATTAAAAGACTAATTAGCAAGATGCAGCATTCTATAATCATGTTTTATAAAATCTTTAATAATTAGTTCAATCAATCGTCATCCAGGTCTTTCAGAATTGTAACCATCAACCTCATTACAGCATTTTCTACGTTCAAAAAGGACAAAAATGTCAGTGATGTCCTAATTATACATCATAAATAATAATCAATACACAGACAAAATAATTCAGCTGTTCTTTCATCTCTGTTATCCAGTCTGATAAGGTGTATTTTAGGAAAAGTTTGTCTAATTGGATAAATTTTATAAAACAAAAACATCCGTTAATTTTTATCCCATTACCCCATACCGTGATACGTATTGTATCATGATATGATTGCCGATACCCAGCACTAGGTTATATGTAGGGGCTTATTAAGGACCTCAGAAATGTCAAACGGGGCTCACAACACCAGACACTGACTCTTGAATGTTTTCAAATATTTCAAACTTCATTTCTTAAAATAATTTCATCCTCTAAAGAATAACATAACATAATCTTACATGTGTATTTATCAAATATACCATATATATCTATATTATTTTTTTTCTAAAGCTCAAATATTTAGGTTTAGACATCAGAGAAAGTCAGTGTAAAATGAACTTTAAGGTAGTAAAAAGAAGCAGTAGTATGTTAAATAAGTTTACTGACTACAGAACATGTTACTATCAGTGTCTGTTAAGTTTTTTTTCAGTATTTTCAGAAGTTATATTTCATTTGCCTCTCAGTATATAACTACCAATATTAACAAATAGATCATGGAGCAGCACATGTAATGAATGATCTGGAACGGAATGGGTCACCTTGGTTCATAGCAAACTATTACCAGTATTTACAAGCTGGTAGTAACAATAAATCTTTGACCAAAAGATAGAAAAGATGTTCAGAATGATATGTGTTATCAGAGACTGAAAGAGAACTTTTCTTATTGAATACCAATTAAGGGATTAAGGAAATTGGCCAGGACAGCCTTGGTTCATTATTATTCATTGCTTGTAAATGAAGTATTATAGTAAACATGCCTTATTAAGTAAAGAATATTAAACTAACGTACAACGGAACATCGTCTTATATTAGAAGGCACTGACTCAGCACATCAAAGAGGTAATTTGTTGGAAATTATTTAATGGTCACCAGTACTTGACCACTCTTGACTTTGATGTATCAGAGATCATGACTTGGCGCCACAAACCTTTTTTCATACTTACTGATGTCAAAGATACACAAATATCAATCTATTCCTTAGGACACAGTTCTCCCATTATCACATTAATCTTCAAATTGTACCTTTTCTTGATGCGAAGGGTATTATGTATCTGAGTAAAATCTAAGTTGAGCATTTGAAATGTTTCGTGGTAATGGGGCCAGGAATTATTTCATTTGGAAAGTAAGAATGACCTACATAATTCAAATTGAGTAAGTAATACAAAGTTATACAAAGTTGATATTGACCAATCTGGTGATGAATTATAACAGTATTTTAACCAGAATATGTGCCATAAATTTACCAACTATTTGCATAATAATCTGCTATAAAATCCATTCAATACAATATCCAAATGATACAAAGACCATCAATTTTGAGAGGTCATACAATTGTCCTTTATTATTTTAAGACAAGTACCTGCTCCCTAATGATAAAAATAGAACACCATAGATTGTTTAATATGACAATAGAAGAGTGAGAACAAGTAGCAAAATCAATGAAATATGCACTTAGTAAAAGACAATAGAAAACAGTAAAATAAAAACGGTGTTATCTCAGCACGGAATATCAGACACTATCATCTAATTATCGTTAACACAATATCTTAATGACTCACTCGTATTTATTAATTAAGCACTAAAAAAATCTGGTTGATGAGATCCCAGATATGATAATTATGTTATATTAAACTAAATAAGCATGGCTTTCATCAAACAAGAATGCCTGCATGTGATTCTATTTCCCAATCACAATCACAGTTATCAGTATTAGTCATAATGTTGGTTTTACAATGTACTGGGTTAAAAAAATCACACTTACAGTCGGTAGTGGATCAGACATTGCAGTTAGATAATGGATATTGCAGGCAAATGTTTCAAAATCTTACTAAAAATCTTATTGAAACAATAAAAACTGTCTTGTTAGTCACCAATTTGTTACTTTTTACACTCGCTGTTATTGAGTTGTTTCATTGGAAGAGTTTTTTTTGTGTCACCTAATGGCTTTAGATTGTAATATCATTCAGATCACTCCATTGATAAAGTGATGAACACATGAGATCTGTGAAGAATTCAATTGCATATTATTAAAGTGTTAAAATATTGTTGAATTGACATGGTGCACATTTCTTTCTTTGAACTGAATGGAATGTTACAATTAGACAATTTTATTTCAATTCAATGTTTTAAACTTTCTCACTGAAATGCTTCTACAAATTAGTAAATAATAGTAAGTAAATAATGGTAGTCAATAAATAACTCATTCAAAATTAAATACAAGTTCAGGATCTAACTATGCTAACAAAATCATACTATACAAAGCTCAGAGAAGCTTTCACTAGAAGCTGCAATCAGACATGACTGGCAATTGGTCAAAATGATCCCCCCTTTACATTAGATACTTATTGTGTAAATGAGAATATTTTATCATGGCCTGGTCTGGATTGAGAACAACACACTTTAAGGCAACTTGGTGTAAGGTTTTATGAGATAATTCTCTTATAGAAGCACTGGCCTAGGTCACAAGTAGTAGCATTGGAAAACGTCAATTTGATAGGAAATTACCTACCCCTGTTTTGAAAGGCTACAAAGATTTCTTGTAAAGATTAGCCAACTTGGACATCTAGATAGTTTGATATCCTAATGAACTCAAAACTAGAACAGAAATTGACATTTCTATTCATAGTTCACAGACAATTTGTAAAGACGAACTATTATTTTAATAGAGAAAGTGCAACGTGAAATTGAATTGGATTGTGTGTAGAATCTTCAATAGAATACAGTTTTCCCTGGGGACATGCTGCAGTGTGTTTTCTTTAAATCATTCTAATTTTAACACATAATTCTTCAGTGTTAGTTTAAATACTTGTCAACCAGAACAAGATCTTAAAAAAACTGAAACCACAGCACTTGATTGAATTAAAGTGAGAATGTCTATAAATAGTTTAAAATTGTTAACATGAGTATAATAAACTGTTTGTGTGATGTGTCTATAAACACTTTGATACTTTATTTAATTCTCGCAGGTTTATTTGCTCCCTGAGTGTTGTAAGAAATTTAATGCAAAGAATGTAGTGGGAGTAGAAAAATATATGGTAACTTATTTAGGACATGTGGCAATTTGTATCATTTGTATTGTATGTACATTAAACAAATACTCCCTCTTAGAATGAACATTAAAATAAAGATTTTCAAACTTGGCCAATAAGCGTATATATTCATCCTTGGATCTACCAAGTGCCATAACTCTACAACAGAAATCCTCTATAATCTGATAAATCCTTAAAAGTACTCATTTGTTGAAAAATGTTAATTAATAATTACTTTGTTTTATGGATTTACTGGATTCTGTTGCATATTCATGACACCAAGTAAGTTCATTGATGAATACTCCAAATTGAGAAGTTTCATGTACATTCTAAGAGGTAAGGGGAATATATCTTTACAGGTTGATAGTTTGAAAACAAATGTCCTCAGAAACTCACTCCTAAATGAGCCACCATAGTATTGTGATAGCATGGGAGTATCGGGTGGGTTTAATCATCTGTGAAAATATTTTAAATTAATTTGAAAAGTTTGAGGGATGATATTTAAGAAATATCTCATGATATTAAGTGCATACTTTAGAAGCTGATTTAGCTGACTGCATGCATGACGATTTTTTTTGGATGTTGATTTTGCACACATTCAAAATGACATCTGTAACACAAATGACACATGTCACAATGTTGATCCTTGCCTATACCAAACCAACAAATTCATATAAAAAAAATTAACTGAAAATTTGAACCCATGCTTAAAAATGTTTGTAGTTTCAGGTATGATGATATTAAAGATGAATATCAGACATTGGACGAACTCAATTTCAGAGATTTGATGTGATTCATTGCTTCACCAGGGAAAGGCATGTCAACATTGGGACCAGCATGATTCACTGTAATACCAGGGAAAGGCCTGTCAACATTGGGACCAGCATGATTCACTGTGATACCAGGGAAAGGCCTGCCAACATTGGGACCAGTATGATTCACTGTAATACCAGGGAAAGGCCTGTCAACATTGGGACCAGCATGATTCACTGTAATACCAGGGAAAGGTCTGTCAACATTGGGACCAGCTTGATTCACTGTAATACCAGGGAAAGGCCTGTCAACATTGGGACCAGCATGATTCACTGTAATACCAGGGAAAGGTCTGTCAACATTGGGACCAGCTTGATTCACTGTAATACCAGGGAAAGGCCTGTCAACATTGGGACCAGCATGATTCACTGTAATACCAGGGAAAGGCCTGCCAACATTGGGACCAGCATGATTCACTGTAATGCCAGGGAAAGGTCTGTCAACATTGGGACCAGCATGATTCACTGTAATACCAGGGAAAGGTCTGTCAACATTGGGACCAGCGTGATTCACTGTAATAACAGGGAAAGGCCTGTCAACATTGGGGCCAGCTTGATTCACTGTAATAACAGGGAAATGTTGAGTCTCAATAGCCATTGCCCTGCAATCTGTGACATGAAGGACCTGTAACATGTAATAATATGGTTTTGTCTTATCAGAATCACTGGACCATCCATATCCACCAGCATCAGAGAGGGCAAAACAGTGTCGCAAAGTCCAAAGATATTATCTTGATTGATATCAGGTAGGAACCTTGGATCTACATATATCAGATAAAAAAAATTGTCTCTTCCTTTCCAGAATGTTATACTCACATAAATATCAGTCAGTTTTACTCTTATCTGATCATCTTGATTCAAAATTCAAGATTAACTTCTGTATTTATGACCAATGGCATATAAATCTCAGCTTGCATTTCGATAGAAAAAATATGTTATAAAGAAATGCACTAAAAAGTATTGAGTATTTCAACTTCTATGAATATGGTGTGTATTAAATAATAAAATACAAAGTAATAACTGGTTTATTGAGTAAAATAATGAATGTTTAAAAGTTTAATATCAAAACATTGGTGGCTATAAAGTTGAAGATAGATCATTTTAGTCTAAAATAGCTACCGTAATCTTTTCAACTTGTTTTTCAGTGCACTAAGTAGATTTTTACGACATATTTGTCTTGGTATAATGATGAAACAGGATTTCATGTCTGGACGTTCCAATGTTATTTTCTGGATGATCTAACATCAATGATAGCGTCTGATAAGGTCATGTCATTATATGATCTATTTTCATGAATACTAAGATTCAAGTTCAGCCACTTTGATAAATCACCCATTTTCTTCCCCACCAAAGACTTGATCAGTTTCATTTTGAAGGTGAACAGACTTTACTTGATGAATAATTCACCATTGTAATATGTTCACACATTATTTTAGTTCTGAAATAAAAAATGAAGAATAAAATCTTGAAATGAACAAATTACAATCAGCTCAGCAGCAAAATGGTCAATAGCTCTAAGGTCAGAAGCGAAAGTTGGTAACTCCAGGTCTGCAGTTATAGAGTCAATATCTCAGAAGTGAGAATCGATAGCTCCAAGGAAAGAAGTAAGAGTCAATAGCTCAAGGTCAGGGGCAAGAGTCAATAGCTCTAATGTCAGAGGCAAGAGTCGCTAGCTCTAAGGTCAGAGGGGAAAGTCCATAGCTCCATGGACAGGGGCAAGAGTCAATAGCTCCAAGATCAGAGGCGAGAGTCGATAGCTCTAAGGTCAGAGGTGAGAGTCGATAGCTTTAAGGTCAGAGTCAATAGCTCCAATGTCAGAGGCAAGAGCCGCTAGCTCTAAGGTCAGAGGCAAGAGTCCATAGCTCCATGGACAGGGACAAGAGTCAATAGCTCCAAGATCAGAGGTGAGAGTGGATAGCTCTAAGATAAGAGGTGAGAGTGGATAGCTCTAAGGTCAGAGGTGAGAGTCGATAGCTCGGAGGACAGAGGTGAGAGTCAATAGCTCGGAGGACAGAGGTGAGAGTCAATAGCTCGGAGGACAGAGGAAAAGGTCGATAGCTCCATGGACAGGGGCAAGAGTCACTAGCTCCAAGTACAGAGGTGAGAGTCAGTAACTCCAAGATCAGAGGTGAGAATCAATAGCTCCAAGATCGGAGGTGAGAGTCAATAGCTCCAAGATCAGAGCCGATAGCTTTAAGGTTAGTTGTGAGAGTCGATAGCTCTAAGGTCAGAGATGAGAGTTAATAGCTCCAAGATCAGCTGCTAAATAAATAATAGCAGCAAAGTCAGCAACTAGATAGTTATTAGCTACAGCAGCTATAGAGTTAATTACTCTAATGTCAGCAGCTATAGAGACAATAGCTCCAAGGTTTGAAGCAAAGGTCAATAGCTCCACGGTCAGAAGTGAGAGTCAAGGATGGAGCCACCCCAATAGCTCTAAGGTCAGAAGCCATATAGACAATAGCTCAACAGACAGCAGCTGAAAAGGTCTGGAATGACTAGAAGTACTTTTATCAGTTTTCTAGATTATCTTTCATGTAGGTCTACATTAATAAGAGCCACCACTTGAGCCTATCCTTGTGTTTATTACAAGTTAAACATAGATATGCATAGTGAACATATTAAAAACTATAAAAACAGATGTTATCAGCCTCCCACATGTAAGGATATGGTACATTAACATGTTAGAGGTGTGAGACACCTACTGTTTTATCATCTTGTATCACACTATGTCACTCATCTCAACATATTCTTAGTCACCTTGTCTAACTACATTTTTCACATCTTAACAACTACCATTCCTGTCATTTTAATGTGCACCTAGATAAATATGATCTTATAATCATCCGGTTCCCAATCTGGGGTGTTTTCACCCTCTGGCGGTGTGGGACTAGGGTGTCATGGGTGTAGAAGAATTTATTTTGAATTGAGGAGCACTTCACATCATCACATGCTGAAAATGTGGATGAAACAGAGTTTTAGGGGTGTGAAAAGTCCAGGTGATTGCTTCAGGGGTGTGAAGGCTGAATAGGTTTGGAACCACTGTTCTAATCCATGATTCTCAACCTGAGGTATTTTCACCCCTTGGGGTGTGGGACAGGGGTGTGATCAGGAGCATGGTTTTCAGTCAGTGGATGTTTAACAGTCACGACTATGGATGAAACCTAGTCCAATTGGGATCTGGGGAGTATTGTGATTACCTCAAATATAAAATTATACAATTTACAACATTCTGAGAGTGTTCGGACATCAAATGATTACTCTGAGGGTGTGAGAACTGAAATAGTTAGAACTAATCTCATTTGATCACAGGATACCAATTCCACCTGGGATTGCCAGCAAACACCAGAAGGGGTACCTGATATGCTTCTTAGACAACTATTAATTGTAAATATCAGATTCAGACCTCTGTTTATTGTGGAGACAATTCAGGACTTTTAAAGACTTTCAGCTGACCTATCGTGGATGAGGGGGTACCAGGATAGCTGAAATTTAGTTTTATTTTAGCATGATAAAGGGGTTATATCGTTTCCATATTCATGAGACTTCTATAATGGTTGGATAAAGTTATTCAAACAAAAATGCAAATGAAGTTGATAAGACTTCATGGGTCTCATGAATTGAAGTAAGATTTAAAATTCCACGCACTCCTAGGGCAGATTTGGGCCAATCAGGTGCAGAGTGGTGGGTGACGGAAAGTAAAACTGAGTTTTATTCAAGAGTCACCCCCAGAGGGTGAAAACATTATGGAGAAATCCATCAGCCCATAGGATGCAAAGCATTGGGTGTAAAACTCCCCTTCGTTAAATTAATCAGCAGTAAATAAGAAGATAAAAGAACACGAGAAGTTATCAGGTACAGGGCAGGTCTCATATAACCTTCATCACAGCATTTAAACTTCATCATAAATAAATAAAACAACATATTTAATACATCTATTACGGCTTTATTATTTTAATTAATAAATACTACAGCTTTTCTTTGTCTGTTTTCATTTAAATTTGGCAATCATTTTAATTCCTGACAAACATTTTCTTTAAGTTTAATCATTATTTAAACATTGTGCAGGGTTCTTATAAAAACAAGATTTGGCAGCTAGTCAGATTTGAAGAAGCAAGATAAACTGTCTGAGAGAAAATTTCAATAATCAGAATTTTTATTCAGAATCTAGAATAACATTAAAATCAGTTTTAGACAACATAGTGAGACGATTTTAAATGTCTCCCACACAAGAAGTATGTTTTGTTTTTGGTAAGAACCATGCTTATGTTTGTCCACCCGAATATAGAAGGTAATTTCATAGATTATCAAACATCTTAAGGATTTTTGACACTATAGATCTCCTATTGAGTATAACGACAAAAAACAATTGAAGTCCATGGATATGGTACACTATTTCATGGAATCGTCCCACACATTTTTGATTTCAGACAAATGAGACCTTCTATCAAGCATAATGCAAAAAAAACCAAAAACCATTATGCATTATTGAACTATGTATATGATATATTAACATAACTTAACTACCTTTCACTTATAAATCTTACCTTCACCTGTATAACAAAATCTGTGCTAAGATAATTCCCGGAAAAATTTCATATAATTCAAGTTTATTGAAAATCTGAAAATATCCGTGTTAAAAATCATTTTTTGTTCATTACATAAACTATCTGTCAATAACATTTCTTCGTAAAAATTGGAAATTTAAAATACAAAATAATAAAATTAAGTGGTAAAATTGAAGGCAAGTTTTTCGAGAAACTGTGATCTAGTCTTGTATTAATAAAGTTAATATGAAAGATTATAAATCAGATAAACAGTTTACTACTTAATCCACCTTATGTCCACAAATCTTATATTTAGATATACTCTTATATTTATATCTTTAACAAATCGTTTAATAGGCTAGGAAACACTTGACATTCCTGATTTTTGTTAAGGTTTTTTTATTGTGTAAGGTTTTTGTTAAGGTTTCTGTGAAGATTTTTGTTGCTTAAGGTTTTTGTTATATCATAAAGATAAGATATTTGAAGTCAGGTCTTACATATCTGTCATAAATACCGTTATGTTCATTATATTCTTAATATTGTAAACAGTTCTTTGTATGTAAACAAATATGACACATACTTTCAAGCAATAAGTTTTATCAGAAAATCTTAAAAAACGAATTATATATCATTTTATGTAATGAGTTTTATCAAACAAGTTTTTAATTGTTATTTTCCAAGCAAGGTAAATTTTTATTCAAAATAGTATAAAAATTACAAAAAACCACAAAAATTGTATGTACATTTAGCTACCATTGTGTGATGGTAATTCAAATTGCACAAAAGCACTTGATTATTAATTATCATTTTTGCCACAGATCAGAATGTGCAATTTAGAATAGTATTGATGTGGCCTTCATTATTTCTGAACCATTAAGAGTGTTCACCTAATCAATATATTTATGAAGTTTTCTATCATAAACACAATAATGTGTGTAAATAGGTTTCTAGACCAGAATTTTTATTAACTTCTTAACATTGTGTACCTTACTACATAAATTTCTTCATCAAGTAATAAGAATGACATTTATAACACTGGGATTATGTCAGA